CTCTCTCTCTCTCTCTCTCTCTCTCTCTCTGTGTGTGTGTGTGTGTGTGTGTGTGTGTGTGTGTGTGTATGTGTGTGTGTGTGTGTACTCATCCCCTCGGTTCTGCTCCTCTTGAGAACCCTGACTAAAACAGTACTCTAACAACTGAATCACATTCCCAATCCAGCTCCCCCCTCCTTTTTTTTCAAAACACAAACACTGGGGAGGGGAACAGGGGTCGGGTTTAATCTATATGAATCTTTACAGGCACTTTTCTTTTTACAAGTTTACAAGGGATCCTTGAGAAAAGTCAAAGTGATGTATTTCATTTCCCAAGTCTTGACTGGTGGGTTCTTAGTACCAAGCTCATGCTCTTCTCCAGATGCAGGCATCTGTTCAGCTCACCCACACTCCTCAAAGATGTCTGGATAGTGCCGAAAGAGCACTGGTGGATCCCGGTCACCTCGGACTGGGGCTCCAGGCACAGCCCGGATGCCAGGCCTACGGCCACGGCGACCCCCTGAGCAGGAACGGTGGATCCATTGGTGTGCTTCCACGGCAAACTTCCTCTTGAACCGCATGCCGCACTCTGGGCAGGGGAAGGGTCGCTCACCCGAGTGCATGCGCCGGTGGCTGACCAGCAGTGACGGGTAGGTGAAGCGGCGCCCACAGTCCACACACACATGGCGCCGCTGGCTGTCCTGCACATCTGTGCTGGGTACCTGGGCAGGAAGCTGCGCGCCTGCTACCTGGCCTGGGACAGCTCTGGGAGGTGGCTGTACCCCTGCAGAGGACTTGGGAACCATGGAATGAGTCTTATGTTCAACCACCTCTTTCGACGGCAACAGAGCAGGAGTCTCCGCAGGCCTCTCGGCTCCTTCCTTGCAGCCCTCTTCCTTCTTATCTGAAGTGTCTCCTGGGAAACAAATTAATTACATTTTTAAAACTCTCACTAGGGAAGTAACTATAATCCTAGCATTTGGAAAAAGCCGAGGCAGGAAGATAGCCATGAGTTTGAGGCCAGCAAGGCCCACAGAGTGAGACTTTGTCTCAGAAACCCAAAACTGGACGGAAGGGTATGGTGGCTGCTCGTCTTTAACCCTCACACTTCAGAGGCAGAGGCAGATGGATTTCTGTGAGTATGAGGACAACCCTGTCTAAATAGCAAGTTCTAGACCAGCCAGGGCTGGAGAGATGGCTCAGTGGTTAAGAGCACTTGTTGCCTTTCCAAAGAACCTGAGTTCAGTTTCCAAAGCCCCCATCAGGCAGCTCCCAATCATCTATAATTTCCACACCAGGCAGTCTCCTGCCTCCTCAGGCAGCTGCACTCATGTGCACATCCCCACATGCAGACATATACATTTACATGTAATGAAAAATAATAAAAATAAATCTTTTTTTAAAAGTCTCAATAAAACACAACACTTTTGCAGAGACTACCCTAGCATTTACCCAGGCAGTGCCAGAATACACTGTCCAATGGCTAACAAAAAGGCTTTGTTGAAAGTCGAGCAGTTAAAATTTCCTTCTTCCTGTGTCAAATGGGAAAACAACTGTTTCAGGACTTCACAGGGTTATTGGGAGGATTAAATACATACGTGCTTGTTGAGAACTTAGTAAATGCTCAATAAACAGTAGATACTGTTGTACTTTGTATTTGGGGGGGTTTTGTTGCTGTTGTTGTGGGTACAGTGGTACTTTTACAGATGAGGCACCATATCTGCTTCAGATTTCTTCGATTCGGGGCAGCGATGGGAGACGAGGCAGCTGTCATTATACGGGCATTTTTCTCACGTAACACTACGCCTTGAGAAATATGACAGGCAGACCTGAAACCAGTTCGATTTTTAGGGGCATTTTAGGTTTTTTTTTTGGAGGGCAGCTAACCGAGACAAGGTCTTACTGAAAGACCCCCGCTCCATTATGAGGACATGGGGCTTTGGGCCAATGAAATGCCCCCCCCCCCAATAACTTAGCCTAAGAAACGCCATTCTGAAGGAATCAGAAAAACAGGAGTTCACAGCCGTAGCCAGCCACCCGGCCTTGACAGAGATAGCTATGGCCAGCCATTCAGCCTTGAGAGAGATAACTGTAGTCGGCGGCCTTGGGAGAAAGACAGTTAAGTCGAATCAGGATATTTTATGGCTGGCCCCCTGGCCTTGAGGAATAAGCAGCTGGCCTGGGCAAGGCCAAATCAGCCACACACATACGACCCCAAGTTCACCCTG